TATTGACACCTACTTTGAGTTCGATCAAGACTTTGATAGTTTGTGTTAGGTGTCCCATAGTAAATGAGGGACAAAGGTAGAAGGTAAATCTTATTACAAATTTCAATGGATCCATCATTTATCAGTACTTACAGTACTCACAAGTCCCTCATTATTGCCAACATGCTTTTCCTAGTCATGAAGGACTTACGTTTGTATGGATAGTCATCGGTTAACCACCACATGCTGATACAACATGTGAGTTATACGGCCCCGTAGCAAAGGTATAGTTATGAGTTTAGTCAGAAAATGAGTGTGAAGCCATGTGCTTTTGCTTTCAAACGTGTACACATCAGTGAATAGTGTTCACCACCCTTATTTCCTCTAGATTTTCAAACTCAACTCCTTATTCCATACCCCAATGTCTCTATAACTATTCATACGAGAACTTAACAACGATAATTTACACTGAATTCTTTTATTCTACATATATTCATCACTCTTTCACAATAGTATACATTTTTACATGATTAGTATGTCGTAATACATATATTATAATCACACCAATCAATGTGTCACGACACATGTGTTATAATAACATTTGTCGATGTATTACAATATATATTATAATCATACCAACTAATGTGATACAATACATAAATTATAATCACACAATCATTGTGTTCTAACACATATATCACAATTTTATATACATAACCAAGCACACAAATTTTTATTTTTATAATTCTCTTTCTCATGCAATCAATTTCATACTTTTTTAGCAATTTAAAATATCATATTACACAAATCAGTTCAATATGGTGAAAGTCGAACACCTTCGGACTCAATCCAATCATACATTTTAAAATACATTGAAACTAAATCAAATACTACAGTTACATTGTCAGAAATCACACTTTATCGATTTTAATAAAAATCACCTTAGAGTTTAACATTTCCTATTTTCATTCTCCAATACATACATTGTTCAAAATTAATAGGTTATATATATGATAATCAATAACAAAATCATAAAAACTTCTTAAAACATTGTTTTGCTCATAACCTTTATTATAAAATTATGTTTTAGGTAAATCTTGATCCAAACCATAGATTTGCATACCCAAATAATCCATTTTTGGCATTATGATTTTAAAAAGATATTATAGATCTATTATTCAAAACATGGTATTTTGAGTTTTTTAATTTAAAAGACATGAAAGGATTTAGGGTTTGAAATTAACTCCCCTTACCTGAAAAAATGTCTTTTGCAACAAAGAAATGAGAGATGACGTCTCTAAAATTAAGTTCTTCTTGAGATCTAAAGGAATGGTGCAACATTTTGATGAAAGATGTTGTGTGAAAGACCAAGATCTCCCTAAACATTACAAAGTGGAGTAACTTTGAGAAGAAGAAAATGATAGAATAAAAGTGAGAATAGGAGATCAAGCTCCAAGAACTTACTTGGAATCAAGTGAGAAAAGATGTTTAAGTTTAGATTTGAGGGAGATTTGAAGAGTAATGAGGTTTTCTAGTTGAAGAGATAGAATAGATAGTGATGAGAAAGGGTTACTGGCCTTATGTTCTAAGTTTTAAAACACCGAAGCTATTTATAAACTATTTTTCACTCACTTTCTCGCTTGAGTGAGACTATTCTTGCCTAAGCAAGAATACTAGACAGAAAATTTTACTTAATTTTTTTGATAATCTTGACTGAATAAGAACTAGTCCAAAGAGCTCTCTATTTTCCTTTGCCTTCTTGCCTGTGCGAGAGAACAGTTGATGCGATATTATCCATTCTCACCTGAGTAAGACTCATCTCGCCTAAGTAAAAATATTATGCATCGAGTGCTCCAGAATGACCAGTCTCTCTTGAGCGAGATCCCCTATAGTTTTCAGAAATTTTAAAATAAAAATAATAAAAATAAAAATAAATATGCAATAATAAGAAAGAGGGTGTTACACCTTCCAACAAAAATGGTTAGTCAAGCTCATAGAATTTCATTTTTTCATTGAATACAAGCATGAAAAAGAAAATATTGTTGTGTGTGGATACTCTCTCAAGGATTGAGTCAACAAAATGTCAACCTCTGAACATCCACTAGTTGGAATCTGACTTGCTGAACATAATTAAACAAAGTTGGGAATCTGATAGGGAATTACAGAAACTAATATCATAATTGCTAGCCCATCCTTCTACGCATAATCGTTACACATGATAAGGGGATGAACAAAGAAGAAAAGGCAAATTACTAATTGGCATGGACAAGAAGTTAAAGTATGACATCACTTAGTGGCTACATTCAGAGGCAATAGGTGGACACTCAAGCAGAAATGTAATATCCTTTCTATAATTTAAATAATTTCCTACTTTAAATATATAACTTTGAATAAAACTTAATTGAAATCATAAAGGATTTGGATAAATTTTGGAAAGTTTTACATGTATATCAATCTAAACCGATAAAAAACTAAAAATTTAAAACTACATATAAATGAACCTTATTCATAATAATGATAAGAATGTATTTTCATAATTTAAATTTATAATTAAAATGAAAGTTGAAATTTCATGTAATATATATAACACAAGTTTATAATATAGACAAAATTGTCTTTTTTCAGTAAATCAATTTTCTAACTAAAGCTGTTATAAATTAAAATTTAAAGTAATTAAATACTAAATATTACACATACACTTTAAATTGTCATTTATAATAAGGTTTATTAAAATATTATAATTCTAAATAGAAACTTAATTAATATTATTCCATTGCTCAAAACAAACTAAATTCTAACAAAAGCAGCTCTCTTCCTTACAATCCACTACGAGTATGATCCTAAGATGAGTTATTTTCTTTTATCTCTTCATTACCTGAAAATGTTTATAAGAGTGAGCATCCTTCGCCCCACTAAATTCTTATTTGATAATAGAATCAAAGTAATGCAAAAAATATTTTTTAATATATTATGCATCAAAATAGAAATAATTCATTTTTCTTTTTACAATTCTAACAAGACAGAAATCATCCATACACATCATTTCACACTTAATCAAATATAATCATTTAATCCTTGAGTTTATGCCACTTTATTTATTTCAATTTTGAAAGATTCACCAATTAAAGGTACTCTAAGTACTCATAGGCCCCTACATCGCTACCAACATACTCTTTCTAGTTATAAAAGACTTATGCTAGCATGGATAGTTGCCAATTAACAACCGCACATAGATACAACATGTGTGTTATACGACCCTCATAGCAAAGGTATAATCAGTAGTCTAGGCAGGAAATAAGCGTAAGGCCTGTGAATGTTTTTGCTACCAATTGTGTACATATCAACTATTAGTATTCATCACCCTTATTTCCCTCAAATTTTCCAAATCACCTATTGACACCATACTCCAGTGTATCTCTAAACTATCTATACAGAAATTCAACAGTGGCACACTAAAATCATACCGTTTAAACCAATCAATATTGTTCTAATACATGTGTTATAATCCCACTGATTAATATGTTATAACATGTGTTATAATATCACTTATCGATGTATTACAGCATATATATTATAATTACACTAATCGGTGTTTTTATAACACATTTATTATAATCACCTTTCTATAAACTCTCTTCAATTAATAAATATCGAAGTCATTTCTTATAGGATTTTTTTTTTTTTTGAAATTCATAGGAATTCCTAGTGCTGTTCTACAACCTTAACCGGGCTGAAATACGAGGCAAAAACTTGCACTCCTTCAATGGAAATTGGATTCTTGTCACTGTTCCACACAATGTCTTTGGGATTAATCTTGGTTGATACCGGATGAGAAAACTCAGAAGCACATTTGTTGGACCTGATCTCACGAAACTAGGCCTCCTCTTTTGCTGTTAAACACCCGAAATCAAGTAGCCCACTCAGATTAGGAGAAAAACGCACTTTCCACGAAACAAAAATCAAGTACGTCACTTACCTTCGGGTCGAATCCGGATTAAACTGGATAGAAAATAAAAAAAAATAAAAAAATTTATTCTTCAATAGCAGACTCATTTTGAGGATTGTTAAGAAACTCAAAAATTTTGAAAGTGGAAAAAATTATGGGACCTAAAAAAGCATCAAATGCTTCTTCAAATCTTCAAACTCGAGAGCAAGCACAAGAAATAACTTATTTAATTGAATAAAATATATAATTATATTAATTGGTAGTTAGAAGCCTTATAACACAAAAATAAAAACAAGGGCATTTAAATTCTTTGTTTTAAAGCTTCGCTTCTCTTTCTTTACAAATTGGTAAGATCAATTTTTGTACGGGCTCTATTTTTCTACTCAATTGCATGGTTTTCAGCCATCTAGTTTAATGTGATTATTCATGCGAAAATTTTACTTTAATGATAATATTATCCATGTGCAAAGAATTAGATTACTCCGAGAGTAATTTTAAAGAGTTAATCTACTTAAAAAATTGTTTCTAAACGTTAAATTGGGTCAATCTAACTATTAAAATAAAAATTCTTTAAGTTAATATCTAATTACATTTTTAAATATAAGTAAATGTTAATAATAAAATTACATATTTATATAAGGGAGCTAAAAATCGTTTGTCCAAGAGTTGTGGTAATAGACATCTATATATCAAACTATACTCATGTTTATTGAACGGATAAACAATTTCCAAGCGTACTAGTAGCTTATTTTTAAAATGATTGTTTGCTGCTAACAGAGGCACACTCTCAAAGACATTATTATTAGTTAAAATTTTAACCTTGCCGGTTGTACACCACTGAAAATATCAATTGAATAAACTTCGGCATAGAAGGGAACCAACAAAATTCTCATTCCCAATAAATATAAGACATTTCTACATCGAACAATTACAGTGACAGGACAATGAAAATTAAGATGCTAATATACAGAAAATGGCACGTTATTAAAGCAACGTTCCTTTTCAGTTAGATTCTGACAAAGATAACTCGTCATTCTCATAGAACCTAACCTGGCACAGTCTTCCACCAGCTTCATCAGCAAATGCAATTTTTTTTCCTCTCTTTACGCACTACATCTTGAGGAGGTGGAACATCATCAGCTAATTTCTGAAGTTGATCAAGATCAGTAATTAACCAAATAGAAAGGGGAAACAGAAAACCATAACAAAGTTGTTTAAATTTAACAGCTTCAAGAGTGTGACAAAGGATGAACGAACCATTATCTTACAGAAACGGCTGCAATCCCTTGCCATGAAGGACAGGCATCGTTTGGCAGCTTCCTCAGCTCTTGTGGCATTCTTAACAGCCATTCTAGCCTGAAAATCAAATCAACGTCAATAATTATAAACAAATCATCATATCATCATATATCAATTTAAATATATGCCTCCGCTAGAAAAATTGAATTAAAAGAGCTTTGTAACACTTCGCATTTTTAAACGGATGGAAAAAACTATAGCCCGCATAATCTGCTTTTCTAATTGAAACAATTAGCAAAAATCGAGCCAAAAACATGAGGAAACGCATTAACTGCGAACATTTAACGAGGACAACATATGTATAACGGAAAATGAGCATCAAGATAGCTCAAATTATAATGGATCAAAATTAGGTGTAGGTTATCGTAGATTTCCATTTTCAAATTGTCATGGCTCTTTCATTACCGCATCACTTGTTCGGTACATCACAAAAGTTATTACTATGAAATGAATGCAATCTATATCCCCTATTCAAATCTAGTCCCATTAGTCTCAAACAACTTGAGCAATGATTAGGATTTCATCACTCCTCTTAAGTCTTAATTGTCATCTCCTTAGCACCAGCCTGACGCTATGATTAAACATACCTAAAACTCGGTAATGTAACAACCAACTCCTCCACAACAGATGTACGACAAAGATAAACAGCCGTCTTCATTTGTTAACATAATAGCAGTATCTTATCAACCTACGTGAGGCAACAAAATGGTCACAAATCATCACTCTAGCAGAAAGTGTTTTCAGTTACACAAGAAACTTTATTTAACTATTTACTCAAATATAACCATCATAGAAAATGGGGCATAAAAACATTCATTGAATTTCATCCACGATGAATTGAACTTATTTTCTATTTTCTGACACCTAAATTACTTTCAAATGAACTAAAGTTTACAATCGAAGTATCACCATTTCTACTGCAGAAAATAATGTTCGATATGAACATGAACAGGTTTGTGATTATCATACCTCATTTACTTTATGCCTTAAAGACGTATTTAGACAGAACTCAGATCGTAACATATCATCCACGATGTCCTTCATTGATTTCAATTCCTTTGTGAGTTTCACAGCAAGACATTCTACATCATGCATCTGCTGCTGTGTAAATGCAATCGCACTCTTTGAGCAACTCTGTACAGTGCTGCACCCTTGGCGGGTTGCTAGGCGAGAAGAGTGAATCTTGGAAAGGCCTTTAGGATGGGAAACTCTTTTGAAAGTTCTAGGATTAACACTAATTTTGTTACGGTTATCTGTAAATTGAGCTCTCGCAGTATCATCAAGCTCTTCAGCTTTACCGTTCTTCTTAGTAGTCTGCTCAGTAAAGTAAAGTTTTCCCCTGCATTCTGCAATCATTATAACCCAATATAAGAAAAACAAAAATGTTGTAAAAGGTGGAAGAATTTCGAAAAAACAAAATCTAATTATATATTTATTATCAAAGTGACTACACATCAATACAAAAAAAATAAAAAATCCATAGCCACTCCACTTAACAGAGAAAAATGAACTCATTTAGAGTTCAAGAAAATTGATTTTACTCATCAAATAAAAGCTATTTTATTTCATTAAGCATTCAACTCTGAAGATAATTGATCAAAGTCAGAATTTTTACTTGTTTCAAACAACCCTATCATGATTTAACTTCCCCATTTCATGATACTTCTTATGTAGCCCATAGCTATACAATCACATTTTGCTTCTTTCAACATAAACTTCATAATTTATATTTCATTCCATGTTTGTTGAGTTTATAGTTTGAAAAAATAGAAGGTGGGCAGATTTAAACATGTAGTTGTCAATAATGGATCTGGATCACAGCATTTACTTAAGGCACTTACTGGAATAGTTTCTATGATTCAAATCAACGGAATCCATGGCTTTGCAGAGTCTTTCCTGGGACGATGGAGAAATTGCCTGAAGAGAAACCACCATTTAGAAAAGGCAATAATCTACACCAAGTCAAACAGAAATGTGATAATATTTATACCTTTCTGGTTGACAATAGTCTTTCGGGACGATGCAACTTTGAACTACCATCTTGTTCATCCAAAGTCAATTCATCATTAGTCTCACGTAGATGTTTCTTTTCATCATCATCATTTACGGAAGCAAATGAGTGTTTCTCATATTCAGGTGAATAATTTGAGTGACAAACCAAGCATTCGTCAGGATTGGAGCCATGTTCGATAGTAGAGCTAAGTTTTACCTGATCCTCAGCACCAGTAGTAAATTCATCTTTTCGGCAGTCATCAAGGATAGTATTATCATCTCTACAGTCTAGATCTATGTAGTCAAGGTTTTTATGTGTAGTCACATTAGGTAGTGAGACCGGGGCGTCAATGTCACCATCAAGTTGATTGTCATCAATATCAGAGTTACAATCTTCAACCAAAGAGATTACTTGTGGGGAGATGAAATAGTGATCTGAATGGATGGTACTTTCTTCACTTTCAAATTCTATTGCAGGAAAGTTTGAATTCTGGTCACCGCTTAGTTGAGAATTACTTATCACAATTTCCATGCTAGAAGGCCTCACGATTCGTAGTGGAATAAGATCCACACACCTTTGCCGCTCATAATTTAATTCATTCTCCAAATTCCATTTATAGGTTATCCCTGCCTCTTCTTTGCCTTTTATGACAGAATAGTCATATGGCCTACCAAAACAATCAGGTTCAGGAACCTCAGATTTCACTTCAACCAGTGCAGTTGAATGTCCACCAGAGGATGGGATCACATGACTGTTTTGGATCTGTTCACTATAGGATGGGATCTCTTGACCGTTTAGAATCTCTTCACTTGAGGTTGGAAACTCTTGACCGTTTTGGGTCTCTTCAGATTTGACAACTAGCATAATCTCTTCAGTACTAGTAGAGATTGGGTCTTTCATGCACTTTTTCTTCTTTGCCTTCATATTCTTCGATAGTTTAGATTTCCAGCTACTGAGAGTTTCCATGAAATCAGAATCATCAGCCGCCATTTGTTCTTTTCTACAGTCCTCCAGGGATGATGAATCTTCAATTTTAAATTTTCTTTTGGATGAGTTGAGACCTTGTGCATGTTTTCTCTTCCTTGTTTGGCAACATTCTTTAATTTGCTTAAGGGTATAATCGTCAAAACTATCACCATCCAAGTTATTGATTCTCTGATCACCACCATCGTTGGCATCACATGCTGAAACATCAGGTTCAATTTTCACAGTTCTTTCCTCAATTACTTCAAAGCATGACCTTTCAGCCTTTACCTCATTATTATGAAACACGAAGCCATCATATATATCCTTGACGTCCTTAAACAAAAGTTTTGGTCGTCCATGAGCAACATTAGGGACTTTGGTAACTACACCGCCTTTAATAGCCTGGATGAAATGAAGATGACCACCACACCGTAGCTCCATATGGATGCTCTACTCACAAATCACAATCTTTGACAATATTCCTCCAATGTTCCTCTAAACGTTTATCAAGAATTTCGAACTACTGAAACAGTAAAACAAACATGATTAGAAGAACAATTTAAGGCAGCGCAACCCTGTTGGGATATGTGCAAAATTGCCAAACAATTTTAGATTTTCATACCAACTAATTTTGAGAAAGGCAACAGCTTTTCCGTCAAAAAGAGTTTATTTGAACTTCAAAATTGATTCTAATTGACCACCCAAACAAAACAAATTTTGTAAACTCACCTTTTAAAATACCATTCCCTAACACAAAATTCATTTTAACCTCATTTTTTTTAAAATCATTTCTACCAAAATCTTAACCAAACAGGGCCTGTGTTATCAGAGTAGCACGGGCCACAAAATTCGTATAATTTTGAGAAACTACAAATACAAATACCTAAAGCACGGATTTCAAGAAATCAACATTTTCGCAACCATTACAGGTAAATATCCAAAGAACTAGTGAATCTGCATCAATTCCCGCATTCAAGTAAATATAACTAGTAAGATTGCTATTACCAAAACAACAAAATTGAAACCGCAATGAACCAAGAGAAGCCAAGAACTAAGTCTTTAGTAATCAGGATTACAAAGCACGCAAAACACCAGATAACAGCAAAAATGGAATTAACCTCAGATTGAAGTGCAAGCAGTCAGAACAAACAAAACTCATCAACAAAGCAAGAAAAATATAACACACACAGACGTAGTGCCAACATCACACTACCGTTGAATTCAGACAAATCATAAGAAAGGAACTTTAAGTGTATGTTTGGTTCGATTTATTTTGAAAAAAAATATATTCAATTTTATAATAATTTTTCAGAAAAGCATTTTAAAAGCAAGAGCTTATTTCTCCATAAACATTTCAACCAAACATGTTTTAAGAGCCATAGATTTCCAACGGCTCAATTAACCCTAAAAATCAAACGAATTCTAGGTGTCTGTAAGATCGCTCCGTATTAGGAGTTCATAACAGAAAAAAAAAACAATATTTAAATTCGTTATTAAAATATAAACACCAAAAAAATGATAATCTCTAGAAACTTCTAAGAAATGTCACACGCGAAACGCATGGAACCAGTTTGATGTGAAGTCAATACAAAGTTGAAGAGATGGGGTAAAAGAAAAAGCAGATTCAGAGCTTTCAGATCTATGAGAGAAGAAGATGGTTTTGCAAACAGAAATGAGATACATAAACACAGACCTTAGGTTGGATGAAACGCCGCGTTTCGGAGCGCTGAAGACAGATGAGAGATCTGAACTAGGGCTAGCTCGCGAAAAAGAGAGAGAGAGAGAGAGAGAGAGAGAGAGAGAGACAGGGTAACATAGAAAACTTGTTCTTAATTTTGTTATATAGTGACGATGAATAACAAGCGCGCCAATTCGTTTTGGCGGGAGTGCACTATGGTTATTTTTTTTTAATTTTTAATAAAAAATAGGCGGAAAAGTATTTGTTTTATTTCATTTTTTATTCAAAAGCCTATAAATGCACTTTTTTAAAATACATTTTATTCTTACTGAAAATTTAATAATAACTAAAAATATAAAATAAATCAATAAATTATTGATAAAATTATTAAATTAAAAATATAATTCACATATTTTTTTAATAAATTTTAATTAATAAATCAGAGTGAGTTATATATATATATATATATATATATATATATATATATATCACATTTTCGTTTTTATTCTAATATAGTTTTATATACGTAAGTCAAATATGGCTAAAGGTTGAATAATATTTTAAGTATTATTCGATCAAAATTATAAGTTATTTAGGTAATTTATACAATAAAAGTTGAATATTAGTAATTATAAAAAATTAATTTTAGTTAAAGAATAATATTATAAACATTAAAAACACTGTATCAAAGGCTCTCTTTAATAAAATAGATTTGATCTTATGGTCAGAAATTTAAAGGAACAACCGTCATCATTTTAGTCCCACAAGCCTTAGTGGCAATCCTTTTAGTTTTTAGCTGATGTATTATCCGTATGTACGATAAAATTAAATTAAAAAAATTAGATTAAAAATTATTAAAATTATAAATTACTAAGTTATGATGTGATAGATACTATTAAAAACTAATAAATTAAAAATATGATAAAAACATAATTTTAACAAAAATATATAATTTATTTATATATAAATACATTAAATTATAAGGATAAAGTTTGTGGAATAATTTTTCTAAAAAAGAAAATTGTTTAGGTCTTTGTCGTGATCAAGTGTTATAACACCGTTAATCACGCTCTTATCTAGCATATAAAAATCCAATGTAGCACTGTAGCCCCTGAACATAAACAATACATGTGGATGGATTTTCATTTAATGTGTCAAGTAAAGATAATAAATTCATGAATTGCCATGATATTCTTAATAACAAAAGTTGAAGTTGAATCTTTTAAACCAACTCTATCATCATTTTTAAGTCATCTTCATCTTAGTTTAAAGTGTAAAGATTAACATATTTTGCATCTTTTTCTATTTTCTTGTATGAACATATTGCTTGGAGGCTATCATTTTCCTAATATATTCTAATTTATTATCAAGTGAACCGCTTAAAGTAATGTTTTACATAAATAAAGTGAATAAAAATAAAATTAAAGTGGTGCAATACTAACCAAGTCAATAAGTATACATCATGTTATCTAATTTAATGAAAAGAATTTATCACTTGTGAAATATATGTTATTGTTTTATTTAATTTTATGGTGAACAATGTTGAAAATAAAGAAAATCACTCTTCTTGCAGTTGATTTATTCAATCTTCAATATATGCACCACATATTTGATCAATGAATTTTTATACACTTGTGATAGCTTTGTAATAGGTCTAATTAGTTGTGAATTGTGTTTAATTGTATTGTTTTGACTAAGTTTTATATTATTGGGCTTAATTGGACTTACTTGTTAAACTTTGTTAATTTTTAAATTTTAGAGCCTTTTGACCTTTGCTTATTATGTAGGTAATATCTCAGGCTATAGTTATTGAATTTGAGTAATTCCAATTGCATTTGAAAGCTAAGAGATGGGCCTACAACACTCATAGAGATTTAAAGGCTGAATCATAGCATCCAAAAACAAAATTGGACCAAAACTGAGCTGGAAGACGCAATTCACGGATTCTGGACCTTAGTGCAGTGTTTGGGTCATATTTCGGCCCACATATGTCTGATTTGACTCATTCCAGTGGCATTTGAAAGCTAACATCCGTGGCTTGAAGGGAATATCAATTACAAATCATAATAGACGCGTTCCCTGAGCAAATTTGAAGGAGAAAGTTACGGTTTGTTGTTAGATTTTTGAAAAGTCAGATTTAAATAAAAGATGGGGAGTTTTTCTTTTTGAAGACGTTTTTTTTTTTGGACTCATTTTTTTAGAGATTTTTATTTTTGGTGAGCTTCCATCCATGGAAGAGTAGTTTCGTGCAACATTCATGAGAATCGTTTTGTAGATTTTATATTTGAATTCGGGTTTCCTGGTTTCTTGTTTCTCTCCATTCTGATTAATATCATGAACTGAAGGTTTTCGTTCGATTTATTTTTGAGAGGCAATTCAATTCATTGTTTTGTTTCGGTTGAAGTGCATGAATTGATTTTCGGAAATTAAGGTTAATTAAGTGGTTTAGGAAGTAAACATGTTCGATTAGGTTTTTTGAAGTTTCTAAGTTTAATTTAATTTGCGTTAATCAAATGCATGAAGGTTTTCGTGTGATCGCTTGATTTAATTTGAGGTCTCAGTTGAATCTAGTCCTTAACTATCGAATTTGAATAATATGTATTTTGAGATTCCATGATTGAATCTTTGCTTATTCTTTCTTGATTCTTGAATTAGGTGTTTTTCCAATTGATTTAATCCTTTCAACTTTGACTCTGTTTTGTTGATTCTATTGATTCTATATCACCCCCTTCGTCCTACATACTCTCCAAATATATTAATTCGTCTCTGTGATCCTTTGGAAAACGATCTTGGTTGCTTGCCTCGTGCTATAGTAATTAGGTTTATTTTTGACACGTGTACGACCCCGTACCAATATTTTATCTAAAAATACTATAAAATAATGCATTAAAATAATAATAGTTAAAATCCTTGTTAATTATAGAAGGTCATTTAATTTTATTACAAGTCATAATATACACAACAAAATGAAAAATAAAAATGTAGTTACTAATTATTTGTTTATGATTGAATATCACAATGAATCTAATTCAATTCATGAAATTCTTAAATCTTTCTTGGTGAAAATGTGTTTATGGGGCACGAAAAGTCATGATTTGTTTAAATAACAAATATAAAAGCCATTGAGATTATAGCTATAAATTTAACTTGATAGTCATGAAAGAAACTCTTTAGAGATTCTAATTTTTTTATTTGAGATGAATCTTACTTATTTAAAATCTGTACAAATGGCATATTAAGGAGATATGTAACTCAAGAAGAAGACAAAGATATACTATAACATTGCCATATGTCAACATATAGAGGACACTTCAATGGAGGGAAAATTCCTGCTAGAGTGGTGCAATGTGGATTCTATTGGTCAACCACTAAACATATGTAACTCCTGCTTAATTCGTATGAGACTTTAAGGTTAATTCTTACTTTTAGAGTTACCCTAATTCAGAGGAAGAGGAAAGCTATTGAATCTTGAGAGGGATAGGGATAGAATTACATGAACAAACTAAGGATTGCACATTTCATTGATTGGATTCATTAATTTCATCACTTGCCTTTACATTAAAATTGGAATCACACAAAATCCCCTTTGTTTTAATTGCTTTCATAGTAAATGTTTACAACATGTTCAATGTATGTTACAAACCAAAGTCATCGGAGACAACCTAGGCTTGCATCCTAGATACTACAAATTTTTCTACATATTTTGATGAAGGTTGACGATAAATCTTTATGCAAAATGTGAGAATATTCCGTTCATCATCAA